AGGTGCACGTATTGTGGAAATGAGACACAGACACACACCCATCCCCAGGGGGCTGAGACATTGTGCGCAGGGTGGAATATCTGATTCATTGATTGCAGAGCTTTGGAAGGGGATTGTTGCCCGCAGGACGATTCTTGAATCCTGCAGGTCACAACTTGTCATTGTCTCTCTAGACTGGAACAATGTTCAGTGTCGGGGCTGGTCCCATCCTCCCTGCACTCCTGATTCCTGAACAATCCCCTCAGAAATCTCAGGGCCTGTCGGAGAGACGGGCTGATTCTCTGGGGCCCTCCTGTTTCTCTAGGAAGGAGCCTGTGACTCTTCTCTGAGGACCCTCTTCTGGATCTCCCAGGAGGGGTTCAGACTCTCACTCCCCAAGCCAGCCAGGGGCCCTGTGGTTAGTGCGCAACACAACCAGGCAGAGCTCTGGCTTGAAGTCCCAGCTCCTTCCTCTGTCCTTTAAGGAGGAAGGGCCTGACACTGCATTGCACTGACTGCCCTGACCAAGGATGCCCACTGGGGGCCCGGCTAGGAGGACAGACTGGAAAATGGATCTAAGAGTGAAGGTAAAATTGCCCCCACCCCTCTCATCGGGCTCAGCTCCAAGATGTACTGGAGCCTGTCGGTGTCTGGGGACTCTGCCAGCAGGTTCCCCAGCATGGCGTCCAGGAGGTCTGGCAAGACCCAAGGCAGATCCTGAAAGCAAGGGAGAGCCATGGGTCAGAGTTAGGGAAACTGGGGCTACACATGCCACAGGATGGGAAGTGGGGTCTCTGGGAAGCACTGGTGAGACCCCCAAACACATATCCTGGCCTCTCTCATTCACATCCCACTGCAGGCAATTAGCAAGGATTCATGGCAGGATGACAGCTGGCTCTTCTATCCATGACTTTAGCATGATCTACCTGCACTTGCGTGATGTCCTTCTCCATGCCCAGGGTGAAGACGGCGTGCAGGGCAGCTCGGAGGAGGTGGGTCTTCAGCTCTGGCTCCAGGGCAGGCGTCATGGTGCTGGCAACAGAGAGGAGCCGGCATTAGACTGTGCAGTGCGGGGATGGGACTGGCACCAACACGCAGGTGAAACTGCAGGGAAATGGGCACAGACTGGCAAGAATGGAAACTGAGGCACCGAGCCAGGGAATGACAAGGCCAAGGTTTTTCAGACAGACAGTGGCAGGGCAGGAATAGCCCCTGTTCCCTGGACCCTGCTGCCCCTCCTGTATCTGATCCTGGGAGTGAGCCTCTCCCCAAAGCTGTTGCAATGTTACTGGAGTGAAAAGAACAGCCCAGCCAGGAGAGAGTGAACCTTCCCCGCACCTCTGCCAGAGGAGCTACCCTTGGGAGGTGACCTGGGAGTGGGGGGGCAGTGACTCCCAGCCCTGGGCCTGAGCAGCACTGGGGTTAGGGGAACCGGGTCGGAGGGTCTCGGTACCTGAGGTTGCCCACAGCAATCAGGGAGTTAGCGAGGACGGCGCCGGGTAGAGAGTTATCAGGCAGCTCCTCAATGAGCTCCTGTGAGACCCAAAGGAGACAAAGGAGCGTGTGAGATTCGGGCCACAAAGACACTTCTCAGTGAGGAGATTACACAGCCAGGGCCCCACACAGCCAGCAGGATCCCCCAACCTACCTCCCGCTCCTCCGATTCCTGCCCAATAGTGACCACTCTCCGAATTTCTCCTGTCTCTTCTCCCCAGTCTTCAGCCCCAGCAATCCCTGCCCTCTGCTGCCCCTCCAGCACCAACAATCCCCCATCCATTGGCCTGGGGAGACCCCTGCCCCTCCCATGTCTCTGTCTTTCCTCCAGCTGCTGGGCACCGTGTCTCGCTCACCACAATCCTCTCCGCCACAGCCGCCTTGCAGCAGTGCGGCTCCAATGTGTCCTGCCCTCTCTGCTGTGCAGCGAGACGTGGGGTGGATGGCGTGCAGGAACACGAGCTGCTGGGCCTCCTCCTGCACCCACCAGTAGTGGGGTTAGGGGAGAGAGAGCCAGTTGGGCAGGGACCTCCCTGCCCCGACTCAGCAGCTGCCGGCCTCAGGCCTGAATGGGGGATAGTGGGGACCCGCCCATTGTCCAAATCACCCACCACTCCACCACAAGCAGGGTCAGGAACTGGGACAGTGCCTGTGGGGGGAGGAGACCCGGCTGGTGTGTGACAGACACCCCCACCTCTGGGGTCCCAGATCATGGAGGAGAAAGGTCCCCATTAGGGCTGGTGGATCATCAGGGACAAGACCCTCTGCAGGGGGTCAGGTGCTGGGAAGGGGCAGGACAGTCTCAGTTCCAGCACAGCTGGGTACGTTTGTACCTTTTCTCCGTCTTGGAGCTGCTCTCGGCTGTTATTGAGAGCAGCCTCCTCTGTGGCCACGTCCACCCATTCCTCCTCCTCGTCCTTTGAGTCCCTGGCAGTCCCTGCACCAGGGAGAGAAGGGGACAGGGTGACCCCAGCTGCCACTCGGGGGAAGGACAGAGGCACGGTGGGGCAATGTGCCCCCTTCCCACCTCTGGGAGCCAGGGC